GACTGAGAAAGGTCCATTTACGCTTCTTGAGGTAATCTGTAATGCAGGGTATAAATTTGTAGGTTACGACATTATGTTTTTGGCCCCAAGTATGCTGCCAACGATATATGAGGTCGTCATATAGTAATTTTTTAGTCGTTCTATGACTGATCTTGTTATATATAATATCTGTGTATCAGTCGCAGCTTCTTTTGCAAGTTGATCAGCTCTTTCGTTACCAGCTATCCCATGGTGACCACGTACCCAAGCAATACTGTACATGTTATTGGAATTGAAAATGAGAGTACGTATGTCTGTTGCAATAGGGTGCAATTTTCTGCTATGAATGAGTTCTACAGCAGAAAAAGAGTCACTTACAATATGAATAATTTTATGGTTACAATAAAGTTCAGACCAGAGAATTGCCAGGTGAACTCCCAGCATTTCAGCCTGAAAAACCGTGCAGGAATCATTTAGTCTACTCTTCTGATAGAAGATTTCTTCATTGTTACAATATGCAACAAAAGCACAACCAATGTGATTATTAATGCCAGAGCCATCAGAATAGATTTCAATGTCAGAAACAACAGGCGGGTCAGAACCAATAAAATTATCAATATAGGGTGGTAGACTTAATGTTATGGGACTAGTTTGTTCATAGTTACTTCCGCGATAGTACAGTCGACCCCCCTATAACACTGTTGATTATTCCCCTTTATATGAATTCCATGTACTGTACGAGTCACTTAGATTTTACAAATACGTGAGCCGTTCACAGCCCGGCACACGTATTTGTAAAATCTAAGTGACTCGTACAACATGGAATTCATATAAAACGGAATAATCAACAGTGTTATGGGGGGTCGACTGTATTTGTAATAGCTACGAACAAGTCTCAAAACACGGCTCGATAACGGAAAATTTAATATCGTTTTTGTGCCCGTTTACAACAAAATTGCATTTCTAAAATCGAAGCTGTAAACGTTGCTAGCGTATTCTTACCTCAAATGTTTTTTCTTGACCGACTCAACGCGGGAAGTTTGCCATTTTCTCCGCGACGTAGACTCTTGAAACGTCATCGACATCGAGTACTTCGGGTGTATATACTGTTGGTTCAGGTGGATCGATCTGCAAGATCCGATCAGTCGTTGTCACGTGAAACAGATCCCTTCCATCACGTGTTTTAGTTGGCGGAATATATACTAGTAGGATCGAATCGCATTTACTCAGTGAATAAAATTGCTCACAAAATGGAAGAGTGCACTCCGTACAGTCTCGCAAAAATTGTCTTAATACTTATTCTTTCGTCTCTATGGGATGATTTATAAATGCTAAGTAAAAACACCATTATTAAGTTTTAAATACTTTTCATTGTCGACAGTTAAACATATTTCTTTGTCGCCAAGTATAAGCTTGACTTTAGCCGTGGAGATCGCCATCTTTAGTCTTTTTTATCCGATCCGATCATATCCTCCGCTCGGATTGATCCTAGTGTTTGTGCATGCGGATAATTGATCAGATCGCCGTAGTTCGTATGTAAACGTGATTTGAACGAGCGGAGTAATCTTGGATCAGTTTGATTCAAAATGTATTCATCCTTTATGATCGACTAAGTAATCTGTGTCGATCTAGTAACGTAAAATACCACTTTTAAAATCAGTTTCGTACCATTTATACAGTATTTTTCGGGCAAGCGAGTAGCCTAGTTGCAGAATGTACCCGGTTTTCTCCTCTGGCATTTTTAAGATCCCATAAACCACGCAAGTTGAAATTGGTTTGAACTGATACCAATACCGGTACAGACATAGTATGGTACAATTGATAAAATATTAATCCCATACATTCTTCAGTAAGCTTATCTTGTGCTGTTTTGGTAGCAAGATTTACGCCACTTTGGACTTTGCAATTTCATCTGCAGAATAACGTACTGTACTTCAATTTTAAGTACAGAATACTGCATTAAATAGTATTTATGATTACTTTTCTACGTCGTATGTTTTGCAACTATAAAAAAATTTTAGTTTAATATTAATTAAAGTGTGGTAACAATCGAGGCCAGTTTTTCAGTTTCCTGTAAATGACATTAGAAAGTGATGGTGGTTTGAAACCGGATCCATGGAACACTGTACAGATCTCGACAGATTCCAAAACACTCAACTCAAATGGGATCAAGTCTCGTGGTACATTTTGCAACTAGACTACTCAATTGTTGACTAAATATTTATTACTGTCGTGACAGAAGCTCTTAAATGAAGATTCTTTGAAATAGCTTTGCAAGTGGCCAAATGGTAACAGGATTCGAGCCAGGAATACCTGGCACAAATGTGTAAGAGTGGCATTTGATTTACTACTAGTGAATGTATGTAAAAAACAAGATGGACGTCACTACTAGGACTACATTTGTTAGTTACCCAACATGATACAGTCGACCCCCCTATAACGTAAGTTCCTATAACGACAATTCCTATAACGTAGCGAAAAAAGTGTAGAAACTTACGTATAACGTACCTCCTATAACATCGTTTCGCGAGAAGATTAATAGAGTCTGGACCAATAGTGGATGAGCAGCCGAACTACTTACATCCGACTCTGCGCCACGCTACGGAGCGGCTAAATTGAGTTTGCTATCGTCTGTTTAGTATTATATATAAATTAGGTACTGTACATATAATTATATATTAATTATATATAAATTAGGTACTGTATTTATAATTATATATTAACTTAATTTATTGTAATTTTATTTTAATTATATATATGCTTTCTGCCGCCTGGCAACACGCTACGGAGATTTTAGGCTAGTAAGTTGAGTTTATTATCGTCTGNCTAAATTCAATATTTCTCATGATCAACGCTGCAAGTATTACTAATAGTGGAGAGCCCATTGGTACTCCTTGTTTTTGAAGATAAATTAGTTATTAAAACAAAAATAATTATTTTGTTATTAGGAGTAGAGCTTCTTGTATTTCTAAAATTTACTACCTAGATAAACTTCTGCTTAGTAGTAGCACATTTGGAAACATTATTGCCTCGAAATATGGCACTGACAGATAAACTGAAATAACATCAATCAAATGTATTTGGAGGTCAAGGAAATAGGCCATCCTATACAGTTGTAGAGTTACAAAGGTGTACCATAAACCTAACCTGCAATCTTTATATACAAGATCTCCAAAACAACAAAGAAAACGCATAGTGATTGACTATGATTTTATAAGTTTCTATGGTTACTAAGTTATAATTTTATAAGTTTGGCTCAATCTAGGCCCTAGATTGAGCCAAACTTATAAAATTATAGCCAAGAAGGTCAAGGCAGATTTAACATACAAACGTAACTAATCAATATATAAACTTCTTACCAATGCCAAGATAAATGCAACAAAACCAGAAAACCTGGGGTATACTTGGTACCACTACAGGAAAATAGTTTTAATATCAACAGGGAAGTTAGCATACATAGGCTCAACAGATTGTTAACATAAAGGAGAGCAGAGCATAAGTACAGTATGATACTTATAATAATAAATTTAACAACACTCTAGCCCAGGGGTGGCCGACCTTTTGCATACCATGCGCCAATTTTTTGATAGACGAGTTCACATGCGCAGTGGCGTACCGTGAGTGTTAGCAGCCCAGGGTGGAGAAAAATTTCGGCCACCCATTAACTAGGTATTTCAATTTATAATCTATAATTCATAAGAGAACTATCTTACACGGGTAGTTACACTACCCGTATAAAGTAGTTCTATATGACATCAGTGGTGTAACGAATGCATAGTGTAACGTGCAAGAAAAGAAAAGAAAAGAAAAAAAAAAAAGGTCAACAGTTCGATTGCACCGAACTGTGTATGCAATGAAGCCGAATCTGGCAATGTTGCTCAGAAACAACTAAAGCGCCACTTGTAATCGTCCAATGCGCCAAGTTTGGCGCATGCGTCACATGTTGGCCACCCCTGCTTTAGGATGTTTACTTTTGTTGCCTTTTAATGTGTCTAATATGTGTGTAACATTTTAAATTCGAGGTAGACCTATAACTGGAAATAATCATTTTCTTGCCACACAACTGTTTTATCAAAAAATTTCTGTAAATGTACAGTAAATATTATTAAAAATTGTGTTATTCTGAATTGGATCGCAAAACAGTGTCAAGATGAGGTGGTACAGGGATATTAGATGGCATCAATGATCTCTGTTAATCAAATAATACTAACGGCATCCTGCAGTTTCAAAATTTTCTATTATCCGCAAAGAGAGTGAAGGTTGGTAGTTTTGCATTAGAGAAAATATCTTGCACATTTTTGTAAAAGTTAACACAAGTGCAAGTATGATTCCAGCAATTGCTACCAAATGTACAACAAGGCATATTAGCTTTGGTTTTATCTGTATTAATTTTGGTGTCTTTTAAGATTTATAGGGAAATCTGTACAAGTTGTCTGGTAAGTTTTCAGTAAGCAATGTCTTCAAACTGGTTTTTGGTAAACAGATTTTACGAAAATCAAAACCTGGTTCCGAACAGGAAACAAAACCGAATTCTCTAAACCAATGTTTGAGAATTTTTGGTTTCTGCAGCACTAATTAGTAACTAGGTGAAAAAATTTCTACAAGTAGCATGGAGGAAGAAATAGATGTTTCATTGGACATTCATCCCACAACTTGTGTACTCACCAGATCTTGCACTAGCAAGTATGCAAGATGTGATGTAGGACAGTCTAGCAGACTGTTCTCAAAAACAAAATGTCAACTATTCAGTAGTATTTTAAGTTAACTGTGGCTATTGAAAGAAAAATCACTAACGGAGTTATGCACTATTCAAAGAGGAGAATTTTATATGAGCTTTCAACAGTAAAAGTCCTACCAATTGCCTAATACATTGGAAATAATGTATTTAGAAGTGAATGGGACTATAATTTCTGCATGAAGTGTATATTTTTTTATTAAAATACTTAGGAACTGGACATACCATTTGTTGGTCTATCTTTGTTTAAATTATTAAAGTTAATAAAGAAAGCCAAAACAAAGAATTGAAAATGATCAAGTTTAATACTATTTTTTCATTCAACAACTACAGAGTTGCTTTAAGCAAATGAGATCAAAAAGTTTGCTCTTAGAGAATCTTCAAAAATTACATTAACAATCTCTTACGGAAGGTCCACGCTTCGATTACAAACTTAACAAATTGCATCCGACAAATCTAGAAAATTTGAATTTCTTATTAAACAATTCTTTTGCGACGGCAAATTGGCTAAAAACTCTCGGTCGTTGGCTTTACATTGGACTTCTACGATAAAAACATCCTTGTTGAGTTTTTATAATTTTGTAAACATTTTAAATGGCAAAATACGCTAAACGAGACATAATAAAAATAATAAAATTGCATTGTGGAGACCAAAGACAATTTAGTCTCATTTAGAAGAGAGAGAGAGAGAGAAACAAAGCTCGTAGAAAAATAGTCTCTTCTTTTCTCATAACAATAGAATCAATTAAAAAGTTCTTCAAAATCAACATTATGCTGTTTGTTTGAAAATGCTATGCTTTACAAATATTCAACTACTTTGAGAAACATGGCAAAATAAATTTGTGCACCTTTGTTTTCCATTAAAATATTTTCATATCTAATCTACAAGAGTATCGGAAAATTCTAAATCGAAAAAATTAGTCCCAAATAATAAAACTAATATCACCAGTGAGTCAATTTTATCTGTTTCTATATTTATGTGAATGTATCATATTTACCGCAATTTCCTTCCAAACGGTAACAACAATTTAACGACAACTGTTTAGGCTTTTGTATCGGATTTGGCATTTCTAATCATTATTGCATAAAAATTGAAGAGTATATGAAAGTATATACAAATCATTGGTTTGTGCAAATTAACATCTGTGCTAAAAACTATTGATTTTCGGACAACGGATAATAAATGATGATTCCTAATTATAACATTTCTACATGCATTTACAAAGGATGAAATTTTTTCTCACAAATTAAATATTTCAACAATTCAAAATCGCAAATTTCCTTCTTGGCCGGAACGAAAACGTACCTTAATTGTTGAAATGCTGAAATTATAAATTGGCGAAATGCTGACGAACCGATAGTCACGGATTCTAAACGTAATGTTGCGATATATAACAATGAGACGGAATAGATGATCGCAGAGTCCGATTCTTTTGATGTCCGGTGGAGTGAACTACGCTTCGTCCCGCGGACGAAATGTCATGACTTCTTCGTACACGAGTTCTTGAAAAAAAGGAAAAAATTAAAGTTAGTTTTTGACTTATCAACAAAAATACAGTAAATACACAAATAATTAATTACTAATTTATTTTTCATATTTATATTCCATGTATTTATGAGAAGGAGAACAAAGCTAATAATAAATTAACTCTTCAATTTAAGAATTTGTAGAAAAAACATCCAGACAAATGCAGAAGGAAGGGAAATGATTAAAACTGTCAAATTATACAGCTTTGAAAAAATAAAATATGATCTACAAAAGATTTCTTGTCTAACAAAAACAAAATAAAAAGAATATTAATGAATGACAAAATATTGTCAAATATCAATAATGCTTATATTAAAAAATCTGCATTTAAATTTTCAATGTAATGAAAAATCAGCAGCCAGTGTTTGTGACTAGAGCTGATCACAAACAGGAAGAATAAAACTAGCCAAAATGCAAGTACATCTCAAAACGTCAGTATCTTCCACACAAACACCACTTTTCCACAATATTAAAATGAAAAATACATTCAACTGTGGACCAAAATAGAACTTTTCAAGTTTACACCAAAAACATTCATTTTTCTCCTTATATAAATTTTTATCCCATCATTCAAGATACTAACAGATATGAACAGAATTAAGAATAAAAGATTTGATTTGCTTCTAGTTGAACAAGTTCACAACCTTAATTCAGCTGAATGATTTTTCAAATTCAAGAGTAGATATATTAAGTCTGTATGACTGGCGCAATTCCACCTATCATAGGTGCACTCTATATTCACCGCTTCAACTAACACCAGTGAAAGAACAAAGAATGATATTTTAATCAGTACAACTTGCAATAAATCACAGAAGCCCAAACTAAATAGAAAATCTAAATATTCAAGGTAATAAGCTTATTTTGTAACCATTTGGCAAACTATGCATGTGAATGATAGCTTAACAAATTCACAAAATACCATAAATCAATTGTTAAAATACAAATTTAGATTTAAAACGTTCTTTTTTCCCATGAAATTTACTGTAACAACAACAACAACAACAACAATAATAAACAAATTTGTTAAAATTTAAAGTGCTGGTTAATTAAATATATTTTCAGAGAAGCATAAATGCACCTAACCTCAATTTACACAAAGCAATTGAAGCTAAACTGAAATTAACTATTATATGGGAAATATAAAATCTTGGTTTACATAAGAGTTATATGTAACAACAATGTGATTTCTTGTTACATCTAACTCTTCATTTGCATTCTATTGTACAGTACATGAAAGACAACAATAAATTTGCAATACACTAAGTACGAGCAAGTTTTAATTTCCACTCACGTTTCCATTCGGCAACCGAAAGATCTCGGTCTTCAAACGACTGGTCATAAGGTTCTGCTACCGGTTCGTCATTGGGGTCAGCATACTGTACCAAGTATGCGTGCGCCAGAGCTTCCGTTGCAGTCGGCCTTCTGTCAGCATCCAACTCCAGCATCTTTTCCAAGAGATCAATTGCTGAAAAAAGTATAATAAAAATTGTTTTATATGTATACTTGGTAATGTGTAATGCAGCCAAAAGCATTAATTTGGGTAAAAAGATTTGCCATATAACTCTTTCACATATTATAAATAAATTTACTTTGCATAAACTTAATTGTCATTGTAACAAATTTATCAAATGTTAAACATACCATCTGCATTTGCACCTTTAAAAACTTCCTTGAAATCCTTCTTTTGAATTACTGGTAAAGACCTTATGTAATTTCTTGCCTGAAAGAAATAGTTTCATTTAAATTTTAAAAATATTTTAATGTTTGTTTAAGAATTAAAAAAAAAATTGTAATAATGATAAGGTATTGTTAAATAAAAAGTGCAGTTATTTACATCCACAAATATTCAAAGGAATACACACAAAAAATTTATGCTAAACCAGATTTTTTTAAATTTTGGGTTTGTTTAGTATAACAAAACTTAACTGTTAACATCTATGAAGATATTGGCCACTAATACTTTATTACAGCCAAATGATAATTATTTAAATATTCAAAGAAACATGTGAAAGCCATTTATATTATGTGTTTGATACAATTTCTTTTGATTTCAATAATCTATATGTTACAAGGTAAAAACTCCACGAAGGGAACCGAGTGGTCTTCCTGTTGTCTGGATCTGAATCCCCGGACTTCTTTTCAGAGTTTTATTTTATCCTGGAGATATTGGTCTGATCCAAAGTCTTTGATGGCACCTGAGTCGTCTATCGAGTGTGAAATCTTTGTTATTCTGACAGCTTTTCTTCAAAGCACAAAGTTTTTAGGTTTAGGTATGTTTAACCTACTGGCCACTGTACATACAAAGTGTGAAGTCAAATTTTGGGACAGGATTGAAGTATAGGTCAAAAACTATCCAAAATTCCATAAAACACTGGACATGCATCCATGCATTCCTGGGCCTTTTTCCCTCAGTGCCCTGCCCAAATGATTTTTATAGCTGTCCAGCCAATAAACCTCACATGAATTATATAAGGTGTAATGCAAAAATATAAGGTGACTCTAATTTTTATCACAATTAAACAAAAAAATAGTGATGGGAATAATGTAAATGTAAAAGAATTACTTATTCTATTAAAACTAAAAATGAAAAATAATGATGTTGCAAAAATATAAGGCCAGTTGCATTTCTCAGTGATTTATCAAAAAAAATTTATACCTACATTTTAATAATTATAGAGAGTTGGCAACACTTTGTAATTGCAAATACAGGCATAACTGAATTTATAACAGCATTAATTGTTCTGATAATCAAGTTTAACAATTGGTAGAGTTAAGAACTAAACTGCCTTTGAGTGTGTTCAAGTCAAGGCACTCCATCAGGCTGGAAGTTCTGCTAGAGCTATTGCAAAGTAGCTGAAGAGATCTCGATGTAGCATAGCCAACTATATTAATTAAACTTAGTGTGCAATATGGAAACAAGAAACAAACAGGATGGTCTTCCAAGTTGACAAGGAAGCAGAAATCAGCAATCATCTGAGAAATAACAACAGGAACCTCATTGTGTGAAACAGCACAAAAAACTGTTAACATTCACAAATCCACACTTTTCTGGATGGTAACAAAACATCTAGAGTATAAAAACAGAAAAGCAGCATCATATCTAAAACACCAACATCAACAAGAAACTGATATGGACCAAAGATAAGATGTCACAAACTTCAAAACAGTGTAAATTTATTTGTGCCAATAAGAAAAAGTTCAATTTGGGTGGTTTCAATGGTTGGCAATTTTATTAGGATGAGTTTTTGTTTGCAAAGTGTCGGCAAGGAGGGATCAGTCATGATCTGGACAAGTTTTGGACGGTCTGGAAAAATCTATTTAGCATTCACAAATGGCTAATTGAAGGAAATTGAATATCAAACCTCTTGGATATATATCTTGTCATTTGGAAAAAAACTGGTGGTCCATTCTGGCAACTGCAACAAGATACGTGAGGTTTGAACTGTGGATCGGTGCATTATCAGTGGTTACTGGATAATGGTATTAATGTCATGGATTGTCCTCCCTATTCCCATGATTTGAACCCCATAAAATATCTATGAAGTCTAATAGCTTGAGATTTGTATGCATAAACACTGTCTTAAACTAGATGTATGCAATATATTCTTATATTGCATACATCTAGTTTAAGACAGTGTTTATGCTTCAAAACCATAATACAGCTAAAAGAACAAAAACATTTATTAAAAATCAAACTTTTTCAACCTTTGTAAAGGCCACCCTCAAGTTCTACTGGTAGAATGAAAAACTGAACAAGATTTTAAAATGTTTGTTGCGTAAGAAGTTTGCATGCGCAGGATCATAATATACTGTAAATTAAAAATGAAAACAGAAGAAAAGTAACATGACATAAAAAAAAAGCAGAAACAAGCAACAAGGACACCACGCCCTTTCGATCTATCAATATAACCAGTGATTAAGTGGTATCTTCAAGGAGACAGGACAGCAATCTGATTTCCAAATTCTGTACAAGAGATCCCTGACAGTCTTTTCATTACTTAGGAACAACAAGGGCCCTCCTAATGAACAGGCTCTGCCAGGAGTATACAAAATTCCTTTATACGACCATAGGTTTGATCAAGAATATGAGTACATAGGAACTACCTTTAGATCCCTCAAGACAAGGCTCAGGGAGCAGAACTCAATTATTAAAAGAACAAGGATTGCAGCCTCACCGCCTATGCATCAAACGACAACGTAGATGTCCATTTTGATAGCACTCGCCTTCTACATCAAAACACATTACCATCACATCTAAAATATCTTAAGATTATTGAGATATCAATATATAGTGCTATCTCTAGAGGGACAACTATCAATAGCAGGGACATGGCTCCTATGTCGCATGCCTGGAGGGCAGTATTTGAATGCATTTAGCAACAGTGTTGAATTTTATAAGCACTTCAGTCTTGGTATATTTATTGTTTTTTATGATTTTTTTTTGTTATCTATAGTTATTTAAATTTTTTTCTGTTTGTATATGTATATGTTTTTTCTTCTGTTTTTGTTTTAATTTACAATATATTACTACATTCATGCGCATGCAAACTTCTTACGCGACAAACATTTTAAAACAGATCTTGTTGTTTGATTTTTCATTCTAATAGTAGAACCTGAAAATGGCATTTACAAAGGTTGAAAATGTTTGTTTTTAATAAATGTTTTTGTTCTTTTAACTGGATTATGGTTTTAAAGTGTTCTTAGATTTGTATGTAGGAGGAAAAACAATACTACAATATTAAATAACTCAAAGCTGCAATTGTAATTATATGGAAAAAATTGATTTAAATATGCTGCAAAATCTTGTTAACTCTATCAAAGATAGAATTTGCAAGATTATTTTAAAAAATGTTAGTTTCATTGGCTATTAAAAGTCACTCTCCTTATATTTTTGATTATTTGAATAAAAAAAATTTATATTTTTATTCTTTTCTTTTCGATTGAGGTAGAATAAGTAGTTTTTTATATCTACATTTATTCCTGTCACTAATTGTTTATTTAAGAGTAATAAAATATTATTCCAAAAAAAATGAGGATGGCCTTATATTTTTGCAATGAACCTTGTACAAAAAAAGGTGTATTCTTGTAGTTGTGGTGTAGTTAGATCCCAATTTTTAACCTATGTTTACCAGAACACATTCAAAATTTAAGTACTCTTTCCAACAGATCAATTAACACTGCTAATGTAAATATATCTGAAATTTTTTAATGTACTTTTAAAAGATATTTGCATAGACATTTTCACTCCCCACAGTATTACTGTACTGAAAATAGATTCAAATACTTATTTAAACAAACAATGTCCAATTTGTAAATCTTCCCATTCAGTTGTAATTAAGTATTAAATTTCGCAGATAGAGTATTAGATAGTCCTATATATTTCATTAATTGATTGAAATTAGTCTAATATTAAAAAACAAAAAGGATTGTCTTGTGGTCTATATTACATGCAGAATAATGGGCTTATTAGCCAATGAAAGTGTTGGCTAGTATGCATGTGGATCAATCACACCACTGATAAGATAGTCTGTATTAATTTGCTTTTATGTTGCAATGAAGCAATGTAAAAGGAATTAAGTGTAAGTAGCATACCGCAGGAAACCACCACGAGAAGCATATACGTATGTATATAAACCCACATTCCTCGAGGTGTATCATGTCTCAAAAGTTTTGATAGAGTATCTTCAAGACCAAATGAATGGTTTCAATAATGGATTATGTACAAGGAAAACAATGAAATAAAGACGGTTACACATAAATACATATTGATATTCAGGGATAAATAAATCTATAATTGGGAGTAAGTATTAATAATTTAGTAGTGATTTTAATAAACTATTTTAAGCATAAAACAAAATGAAATTAAGTTTTAAAAGCATGAGCATTGATAATTTCTTACAAGTGTTAATAAGCTAAAACATACTTAAGTGCTAGAAATGCAATATTAAGTAAACTGAATACCAATACAACAGATTAAATGTTAAATTATTATTGCTCCAAAGCATTTCAAAACAACAACTAGGTTTATTATACATTTTTACCTACCTCTTCGCTGGTAATTTTATTTAAAAATTCGTCATCTGGCGTTCCACATAATATCATGATTCTCATTAGTTGATCAATATCTAATTTTTGTTAAGGTTAATATGCATTACTTTCTTCTATAATGTTAATTGGCTAATTGGAGAAAACTTAAGCATTATTAGCAATTAAAAAAAATAAAAAAATACTAACAACTACAGAAATATTAATAGCTAAAAATTCTATGCTTTTTTACATTGGTAAATTTCACTAAAACACGTGAGCTGTGTATTTTTAAATTTACATCTGAAAGAGCTTTATGACTAAAGTTTAACAATACCAAGTGAGAATTTTACAATAAAATGTAATTTTCTTACTTAAATACTAAAAAAATAAATTTAAAATGTAATAATAAAAGTTCTATTATATCACAGAACCAATAAACCAGCAAAAGAACTACTCACTTTAAAATGTAAGTTTTAGATGTCATACACAAATTAAAGTTTGAGTAATATTACAGCTTTATTATAAAAATTAATAATCTTAAGAAGTTCTTAAGAGAAAATCCTGCCAGGGGGCAAGAAAAAAAGAGAGAGGCATTAGTAGTTTTATAGAAGTAGAAGAGAAAAGATGGTGGCCTGATCGTCGTAATTAATTCTTATAATTAAACTTTGTTCAGCTTTTACCATTGCTTTTATCTTAATCGAAACAGTAGTACACTCCATAAGTACGAGTTGCACAAAAACATTCTTAATTTATTTTATTTGTATATGTTTTTAATAATAAATTAGGTATCAGATTTTTAATAGAATGAATAATTTTTCATCATTCAAGTATACATTAATATGAATAAATAGTTGAACTCCATGCACATCAACCTACAAGGTGTCAGAAAAGTTACCATGCAATGAGAAATTTGTAATGATATTAAAGTTATATTAATAACTATGACATTGGATATGAGACCAAAAGTCATACTTCCCTCATTTCCACTTTATGGTAGATGGCATTACTCTTTGTTCATAGATGTTCTGGTTTCTGGATGATATCCCTTGAAATCTGGCCCACTATCTCCAGATTTCATTCTCACAGGCTTTGGGGTCATATGGGAAACAGAATTATTACATGTAAAACTTCACTTAAACCTCTTCCACTGCACATTAACTTTTTGAACGTCCACTATATTGCAGCTGACATTTTGGTAATAATTGTTACTAACTAAGTTTAATTCAGATATTTGAAAGAGTTCAGCACAAAATATTTTTAATTAATAAATCATCCTAATTTTTTCCTGTTATATGGGCAATATTGTTAAAATATATTTTTTGCTAATTGAAGTATCCATTTAGAATTTCTTAATATAGTGAATTGTAAATAATGTAAATGAATTTTCCTAGCTAATATTATCTTTTCAGATGTATTTGTAGAGCTATCTGACAATTTACATTTGTGAAAAATCTGGTAACTGGAACTTTTACTGAAGTAATATCTCCACATACTAAATCGGCAAAAACTTTAAATCAACTAGATGAAAAGTTATCAAGAAGCTTTAGAAGTAATAGAGAGGTTGCGGCTGACGTTTTCAATGCAAAAACGTGTATGTCGGACGTTCAGCGCCGCTTTCCTATAAGCCTAGAAGTTTGACAATGGTGTTTGGATAGTCAGTGGAATCACGCTTGACATTCCAAACACAATTGCCAAACTTCTAGGCCTTCAGGAAAGCAGCGCTGAATGTCCGACGTACACGTTTTCACGTTAAAAACATCGGCCGCAACCTCTCTAATATCTTGTAAATAATAGCTTAACATTTTGTGTAAAGTGATGGAAAAAAATCTATTATACAGAAGTAACATTTGTTATATTACACAAAAAGTGAATACCACTTTATAAATATGAACAAATTTTCAGCAATTACAGCAACTTACGTTACTATATAGAGTTTGGCTTTGTACATTACAGTTTATATTTGTACATCTTTTCTAACAATAACTATGACAATCTGGATATAAACTTTAAATAGTTTATATTTCTTTCAACTATCCAAATAAAAAAAAAAGAAGGAAGCACAATCACATTCATGCACACACATCTTATGATAAACATTTTTACAAATTCTTGTGTTTGTGAACAAATGAGTCTGGAATGACATCTTGAGAAAGTAATTAATAAATTATCATCTGTTCAATTTCAATTATGAATCACTCAAATTNTCACGTTGTTCAGTCATTTTCCAGCTTAGTGAAATCCGACGAGAGCGCACTACATGACCTCACTCATAGGCCGATTGCCAACGACTGACGCTTCCTGCAGGCAGGAAAAAATTCAGGGTTGTGCATGACTGTCCCCTCCACAACTCCACTGAAGGAGGCCTGTCGTGCATCATTGGTTTACGCGGAAAAAAAAAGGTCCGATACTTTTTGAACAGACCTTGTATATTTGTACATCTTTTCTAACAATAACTAACTATGACAATCTGGATATAAACTTTAAATAGTTTATATTTCTTTCAACTATCCAAATAAAAAAAAAGAAGGAAGCATAATCACATTCATGCACACACATCTTATGATAAACATTTTTACAAATTCTTGTGTTTGTGAACAAATGAGTCTGGGATGACATCTTGAGAAAGTAATTAATAAATTATCATCTGTTCAATTTCAATTATGAATCACTCAAATTCAAAAACATCTGCATGTTAGGTAGGGTACACTGATTGATTAAGTTAGTATTAAAGTTTTAATTTCACAAATATAAAATTTCATTTATAAAATCTATACCTCTTCACTCATAATTTTTTCCAATAAAGAATCGTCCGGTGTCCCAACAAGCGACATGATCTGCAATAACTGATCAATGTCTATAAAAATTAAGGCTAATGCCATAAAATGCAAGATTAATATATTCTTATTGTGTAATATTGGTAAGGAAAAATTTAAAAATTTTAGTAATTAATTTACAAATTCTATATTTCTAAAATTATAAATAAATTCATAATAATTAAAAAAAAAATCCAATCATATGAACCATATATGTAATGCATCCACTGAGAAAAGAAACAAAGATCTTGGGAAGAAAAACGTTAAAGCCATATAATAAATCTGTGAGTTAGAAGAAAGAATTTACATAAAAANTATAAATAAATTCATAATAATTAAAAAAAAAATCCAATCATATGAACCATATATGTAATGCATCCACTGAGAAAAGAAACAAAGATCTTGGGAAGAAAAACGTTAAAGCCATATAATAAATCTGTGAGTTAGAAGAAAGAATTTACATAAAAATTGGGATAAGAAATCAGATATTTGTTCCTTTGACATCGGATTCCATGTAGCTAAATTCTTGCAAAATATTCTAGATTTAAACAACAGAAAATGAATAAAGGATACGATCAGTTCCGGGAAATAGCGTTCTAGAAGTTAGAAGCTCTGCCATTATACATCCTACAGACCAAATGTCCACTAAACAATATAGAAACATAGTTATTAGAAGCTGTTTCAATATGGCTTTATATTTTTAAGTGGAATCAAGATACTGTCAATCAAATAAAATAAGTATCAATTTGCATTGTAATCATGCAATTGTTTATAGAAATAATCAAGTAAGTTTTCATTAATAATTAAATACCGTATATAATTGACAAGACTATGTCTTGTTTATAAAATTGTACCGCCTGCTGTTATCAGCTTAAAGGTATGAAAGAGTTCATGACAGGAGTTGTAATTTGGCACAGAGTATTAGGTGCCCAAATCATGCACACACAAAAAAACCAGACTTACAGGTACTCAAGGGACCGATAACAGAGTCGAAATAAAATTCAAAATGGCAACACACTGTACAAACAGGCAGTAGTGCGAGATTTGTGAATGCATTGCTCATTGGAAATGAGAAGAATGCAAAATCAAATTTCGAGAAATGTGTGTGTTGGGAAGTTCAAAATGAGGAATCGAATCTTTGAAAAAAATCTATTTACCTGTCCATGTTATTCTGACATATCTCTGGTTGTTACATGCTGACTTAGACCAGTTCACCCGAGATATCTCGTTTCATCATCGGAACATTTTTGAAGGTAGATGGCAGTAGTCGTTATAATTTTATATTATAACTAACTTCCAAAATATAATTTGTTTTCTTTTTACGTTTATCTAAATATATAAAATTGCTTGTCCTGACTGACTGACTGACTCACTGACTGATTCATCATCGCCCAGAGCAAACCGCTTAACCTAGAGAGGTGAAATTTGGTAGACAGTTAGGGTACGTCATGGAAACGCACACTAAGAAGGAATTTTTCGAAATTCCCCGCGGGGGGTGAGGGAGAGCATTAAGACGTAACCGGAAAAACGGCTTCTAGTGTACTATTTTAGATGCAATTTTTTGTTACGTTTAGTCTTCATTAAGTACTTAAGTGTATTAAATTAATAACTTTTCAGACATTGTTATAAATATTTTTATCTATTTCAATTTTAAAAATGTTCGAACCGTTTTAAATTCAAATTTGTTATTGCATATTGGTTCGATTATAGAACGATTGTAAACGTTCCAGAAAATTGATCAAATTGAAAATAGTTCATTTGATTCTCAGCAATTCTTATCATTCTCGTCAGTAGGTGTTATATAACAATTACTATGGTTGTTGAAATACTGAATATAAATGGGGTTTGCTTGCAAAACCTCTGCGGGCGAAGTCGCAGGTAACAGCTAGTTAATATATATATTGTTTGTGCAAAATAAAAAAATAATTTCAGATGATACAATAACCAGGATTATTTTTTTCAAAAACGGGAAACTTTCATTAGGCATTGACAAAAATTCAACCTGGGGTGACATGCAATGGAGAGAAATTTCAAAATTGGATAGGTTAATTTCACCAAAAATTCCTCATGGTTGTGGCTGGTGAAGTTTGAAAGATCATGCTCAAAACCAGCAATATCAAAGAAGATTGGAGAATGAGAATGAGACCCGTCTTGAGCACCAAAGTGATCCCGCTTAGTAGAGAGTCTCCAAGACATAGTCTTGTCCCAAATATGGACTTGCTGTTTTACTTGTTTATTATATAAATATATTTGCAATGGGATTTAGTCAAAATGAAATAGAAACAAGATTGCTGATTTGGATTTCTCTTAACTCTTTCCACCCTGTGGGCACTAAGAGGGCATTTTATAGCAAGTCCAGGCCCACAATAAAATGACTGCGTGGTGAGAGATGGGCCAAATGTATCCGGACTGTAAAATTCCTGGGATTTTTTTTACCCTATCGGATTTGATCCTGGATCCCTTGTAAGGTGGGCTGCCATCATAATCACTTGACCACCTTGTCATCCACCAATCTGGATTGACAAATTATCCATGAAAAATTACGACTCAAATATTTCACAATATTTCATGCATTAAGAAAAGAATGCTTTCTTACAAGTCACTAAGCCACAATCAATCAAGGATATTAAAAAAAAATGTCATTAACATCTCTGAAACATCAACATTCAGCTTATTACTCAAAAAATAAGTTTAAAAAACAAAAATAATAGCTTCAATAGTAGTAATTATAAATTTCTAAATCAAAATTAATTTTAATTAAAAGATGTTATTTCTTAAGTACAACAGAAAAAAATATCTACCTGTATGATTATAGTGTTGCCAATTTAACATAATTTCCGGAGCTCTGTACCACCTAGTTGCTACATAACCAGTCATTTCAATCTCTGCATGTCTTGCTAAACCAAAATCTAGTATCTATACACAAAATATATGAAGCAACAACGTAAAAGTACTGATAATACAAATATAACAAATTATAAACACTTCGTTATACAAACAAACATTTTCTGCAAGTCATTTATTTAAATAAAATTAATTTTATCATTTTCATTTCTTTTAATGAAATAATTTTCAATTTTTAAACTCAGAACTAAAGAGAATTTCTTAATGAAAATGTATGCAATTTTTACTGCTTTCTTTCTAGGAAGATAAACTAACTTTATAATCAAGTTGTTTTTTTTTTTTTGTTTTAAGTTTAAAATATTCTATTTTATTAAATTTGCTCTTAAAAGGCTTAAACAATTCTATTTCAGTAAAGAGTTTTTGACTAGAGGTGGTCAAATCATGGGTCAAAAATCAGGGGTTAGACTCTGCGAGATGTGAATGTAAATGGAGGTGCAAATAGTCGAATGTGCAATTTAGACAGTAGACAAAAAAAAAAAAAAAAAAAAAAAAAAAAAAAAAAAAGAGTATTAAGGAATTGGATAATCTGTGTGAAATTTATTCTGGCATTGAATTTTGTAATAGATAATTTAAAAATGTAAATTTACATAATATTTTGCATAATACACTACATGAATTCTGGCATTTTAGTAAGCTAGGGTTCACTTCTAATATCCAATTGGTAACTATCATCATAGATAATAAAAGGATATGAAAAATAAATTATACACATATCCTCATCTTATCATGTTACCAGTTGATGATAGTCATGCTGAGATCATCATACAGGATGAATAATCCTCTGGTAAAATATTTACTTAAATAATAAATAAGTATTTTACCTATGAAAAAAATGAATAATAAATCCAATTTAAATAAGGATTTAACAGCATGCTTTTTAATTTTTGAAACCTAACCCCCCTTTTCACACTACTTCTTTGTTTCGTATAACATGGATTCACATAACACAGCAATTTTTTGGAACGTAACTCCCATGTTATACGGGGGTTACTTGTACTGTTAGCTTTATCATTAATATATTCATGGTTTCAAAAATATTAAACAACGTTTATATACTTGTCATACTAACTATACATTTCTTTTGATATAAATACAGTGTGTTCTTTTTGACACCCATAGTTTTTTAAACTGTTCTGTAAAATCCATTTCTTCAGATACACAAATATAATGTTCCAGAGAATGTCGGTCAATATTCACAGATTTATGTGAATACATTTGAAAGGGCTACTGCCACCACAGTAGATCTGGATCTCCACTGTCACACATTCTACTTTGTTAGAGTACCATTTCTTGGTCTGACTAATCATCTGACAGCATCTCTGAATTTTTTACTTTTGTAGCTTATACATGATCCTTGCAAGCCAACAAAGTACTAGACACAAGAGCCCACATACAAGAATCGTGGATGCCATTAACAGTGTAACTCTTAACATGCTGGATACATAAGGATATGTGATGCATCCTAACGTACTTGCCACGTCTGTAGCATATGTGGAAATGTAATGATTTAGTACAGTAACTAACTTCTTCAGATGCACTTTCTATTATCAGTGTCTACAGTATTATACTCGTGTTTCTCTTCCCGAAATTAATCCACAAAACTAGAAATGTTAAAGAGAAATACATTGTATATTGCATTAGTAACATTTCATTTTCATTAAAAACACTTTAGCCTTTGAGTTATAAATACTGGACATCAGTATTCTAAAATAACACGGACATGACAGCTTAAAGGATGTTTATATAATTTTAAAAGTATTGAAATAATTTGTTACCTTCAATTCACAGTCTTCATTTACAGCTATATTACTTGGCTTTAAATCCTTAAAAAAATTTTTTAATTATTAAAATTTATGCAAAGTTTTCTTGAGATGTTTTAATGAAATATACTAAAATAACTTACCCTATGTATTATTGCAGCTGAATGAATGTACTAGAAGAATGAATAAAGTAACTAATTATAAAATGAAATTAGAACAATAAAACATGTTTTTAAAAACTGCTTCTAGGGTCAATGTCAGTAAATATCAGTCTGAAAAATTGGAAAATATGACACAATTGTGAAATTTGACTTAATCTACATCTTATCTATCCTGTACTAATACAATATTAAGTTTATTTAGTGCTTTTCAACGTATAACTTTTCTGAATGAAAATTACTATGGTTTCATTGAATCATTTGATTTTTAAGAAACACTACAAAAATAGGTGCAAAAACTTTTGTCAGTTCAACTAACTTTGGCTCTGTGTATGTCTGCAAAAGACATGGATATTTAATTAGAAATTTGTATGTAGTATATAAATGCAGCTTTCAGCTGCTAGTTGTTTTTATTGCATATATCATCTTTTGTCTGAGTTTTGTGCATTTCAAAATGAGATAGAAAATGATATACACTTTAGGCAAAAAATGAGACACCAGATTTTATTCACCAGTCATTAATTTCCATAAAACTTATTTAAGTTCAGCCTGTTAATATTTTTGAAACATAATAGGTCTATACCTAATTTAACCTTAATGTTAATACACAGAAAACAGCAGGATTAGTTTTATTTTCTTCATTACTTTTATTCTATGCTAATTACATAAATAATCAATTTGTTCCTAAACGTTTTTATTTTTGTGTAGGCCTATTTTATTTAGACTAGGCTAATTATGTAAATTTTCTTTAATTAGTAGTAGGCTTATTACTTTTTCTATGTTAACATCTCTTTTAATAGACAATTATTTTTAACAAGCCATTGAATAAAGCTTTATGTGTTTACTATTAATAATTCATTATAGGAGAGGAGAAAGATAAGTAGTTTGTCTTCTGCTGAAGGACAACTCAAGGAGCAATGTTTTATACAAAAATGTCTTGCCTGTTGGCATAGGCAAGTCTTTATGGTGATATAATGAGTGTCTCATTTTTCACCTCCCAGTGACTCATATTTTAAGTTTTGAAGGTAAAATACGAGATAAGAAAAAATTTTTTGCTCAACATTTCTCATACATACAGAAGAAATGAATATGCCATTAGATTTTAACACCATCTGTAGACCTTGTCACGTGTTTCTCTTTGTAAAATACTGATCCTAACAAATGCTGTTACAAAAGTTTTGAAAAGTGTCTCATATTTACCCACACTGACCCTACATATTTTTGTCTGAATGATTCAAACATTGATCTATTAAAATATTTCAATTAATATTTATAATTGATATTTGGGAAAATTATGTAATATCTGTAAATGTTTTTTTGACAGAAAAATTGTAAATTTATAGAAAAGGATTAGATAATTGTTAATTCTAGAGAGATGGAACAGCTCCTAGTTCTGTGAAAATAGTTTGGAAGGAAGAAAGTACATTTACTGCTTGCTTCATCATCAAGTGTTATTTGTTCTTTTGTAAGTTCAATTTGCAATTACTTTGTCTTGTAACATTCATACATTATAAAATGTAGTTTCTTAAAGCTAATTAAAGTTTATTATTATCCATGGCTCTCTCAAGTTAAATGGAGCATAATTCACTGCTTCAACAAGTTATTCTTATTATATTATATGCAGTGGTACCTCATACTTTGAGCAACAGCCTCTAATTTCAAATGCTTCAGAGTTCAAACTTTGTGCGCAGTGAAAAAATGCACTCAAAACATAAATGGGATCTGTTGTGCACCCAATCTGTCTGTCGCTCTTGTATTATATTTGTGTTTTCATTTATTTTTTTGCTTTCTTCTTGGTGAGTTTGGTTATATATGTTAATAACACAAATTAATTAATAATACAAATATTAATTTATTCATGTTATTAATTAATTTTTAGCAATTTCTCCCTGTAATTTTTCTTCAGCAGCTTTTGGTTATCTATATTTTGTATACTTTAGTTCAAAATTTCCTAAACAAAACTTTTGAAACCAAATTTGATAAGTTGAAAGTTTAGAAGCACCTCCTCCAAACATATTACAAATCTTTTCCTGTTTGTATGGTATTATATCATTTCCAAAACTCAAAGCATAATATATATCAAGAATACTCAATATATTAAATAATATATAATATATAAAATATATAAAAAAATATATCGAGCATACTCAATATATTTTTTTCTGAAGACATTTCAACTTAATTTATTCAAATAAAATGTGAAGTTAAAGGTTTAAATTAAGCTACTAAACAAAGAATACAATGTGTTAAATTTCATGATATCTATAATTTAATAATGCATCTATGTTAACTAATGACAGCTGCTAAAAATATGCAAAAACTTTCAGTTTCACCCAATTAAATCTTTACTTATTAACCATATTATTCAATAGAAATGTGTGGAAGCAACGAATTCTAAAAGAATGTTTGTAATAAAGATGATTGAGATGAAAAAGTAACTTATCGCAAAGCATGAAAGAGGTACGCATGTGGCATATCTAGCTTCCATAGTTGATGGTCTGTAACCAGTAATTGCAATTTTCATTTTATTATATGGTATTTACATATTTAATTTATTGTTTTTGTTTTAATTTATTATTAAGGCATTTAATTGTGTTATTTTTACATTCAATTATGTGTATTTATTGCTTCAAGTTTATCAAAATGGGTATTCTTTAGGGTCTGAAAATGGATTAATTTGCTTTTCATTATTTCTAATAAAAATAAAAAAATAAAAAAAATAATAATATAATAATTTGATTCAGTCTTTGAATGACTTCTTGGAATGAATTAATTTCAAAGTACAAAGGAAAGTATTAAGTTATGTTGTTACTCTGTCATGTTAATTTTCCACTTGGTTTTATTGTTTACCTCTGCTATCACTAATATTTGCAATTGTTTCTGCATTATACAAGTTCAATTGTCATTGCTACTCAGAGTTAAAAAATAGCAATAACACACTCAATCTTTATGTATTCAGAAATTTATCTATTAATAACTAACACTTCATAAGAGCTTTGTAGCTAAATAAATAAACCAGCAATGAGCTGTTCAACTTTCCTGGTAACATTTAAAATTTTGGTGGCGCTATCTGTTATCATATATTATTAAAAAGTTTTGAGAATAGGGATGGGCTTTATAAAAAATTGTAAATGCTAATAAATAAAATTGTCATTAAGTCTGACCCTACTGGAGAGACACAACCCCCATTTCTCCCCACCTCCCCAACCTTTAATCACCAAAATTTAATAGCATAAATCCCCCTAATAAACAAACCTCCCTGCAAAATTTCAGAAATTTGACAAAAAGCACAGGAATGAACAAAATCGTGTCCCCCAAACACAAGTACTTATCATCATACATATAGAAATACCTGATTTTTTTACATTTCTCGACGTTTCAAGGACCAGAGTCCAAAAATGCAAAAACTTCAGGGGTTCATTTTTTACAACACAGGGGTTCCCTCTGTTGTAAAATAGCCAGGAAAGTAAAAGTAAATTTAACAAGGGATGGTAGCCTAACTATACCTCCTACCAGATTAGTATTTTAAATGCTGAAAAATTATGTAAATTAGTATATGGGTTTTTCATTCTATTAATTTGCATATTTTAATGCTCTCCACACTTGTTAAATAAGCAATTGTAACAATAATGGTCAAGCTCTCTACTCAATGACTCCATTAGATCAGCTAAATTTTGTTTTTCTGCACGTTCTCCAAACCTGACTGTTGGTTGGATTTGGGGTTTTGTGGCACAAGAGCCTAGGTAGACCAAAAAGTGCCAAGTCTAGCCAGTTATGTTGCCGTATGCCCTCAAGTCTTTTACTATGTCATAGTTGTTCTGTTTTATGTCCTAGAGTTATGTATATAAGTTTATTGCCTTCAGATATGCCACTGTAGGTTGAATTTGTCTGTTTTCATCTAGTATAGTCCATAGAGCTTGGTCATCTGAAGATATCTGCTGTCAAAGGTAGCATTCTTTGGCTGTTTTGTATTGAGGCATGTTAGTAATATATGTCGGGTGGTAAGTTCTCCAAACCTGTTTTATAAACTAAAATATTAGGGAATTTTATACTACTCCAATAAAGCAGTTTTTAACAATTACTTCCACAATAACAAAGATAAAACTTATACCTAATGTTACATTTTGAGATAATAAAAACATCTAAACTTTATTTATTCGTGTGCTTTTAAACAAATTTTTAAGTATATTACCTTAAGACCACGTAAAATTTGATAAACTAAAAACTGAACATGATCGTCACTTAATCTCTGAGTTCTGATAATGTTGTTTAAGTCTGCTCCCATTAAATGAGTAACTAAATAACTGGAAGAAAAAATAAATTTTAATTATTTGTATCCAAAACTATATTACTTTAAAGAAAATTCACTGGTAAATAAAAAAAATTAACTTTGATACATAAAATTTTATCACAAAATCTCTAATCTCTAAATCCTTCAAAATCCTGCTTTATCAGAGAATTTTTGATTTAATATAAAACGATTATGTCAGAGAGTACATCTGAGAACAATGGTTTAGATTAAAATTTGACCAAACTAGTGTGAAAATTAGAATTCTTAAATCAAAGCAATCCACATTGAGTAGTTTAGTTTAGTGTGTGTTTCTTTCAGATGATTATACCTTCTAAAGATGGGTTAAAAGACTCAGAAGTATTAGGGAAAGTTTAATAATTATATCTAATAAAGCAGGATTTGAAGATATGCAAATAAAATTATCATCTAAGTATTTAATCATATTAAATTAGTCTGTAGAAATCTAATTTTCTAGTATTCACTGTTCATAACTTAATTCCAATAATTTTTTACAATATGTTATTTGAGGTAAAAACAAACAAATGCTCATACATAACTAAAACAAACATAGGCATCCTTTGGATAAACCACTGCTTTATATTTTTAAAATTATGACAACATATAATAAGGAGGTGAAGATCAATACCTACTCATTTTTAATAATAATAATAATAATGTGTATAATACCATAATATCGCTTCTGTAAGTCTCCATTAGAGACATGATATATAAATTTTGGTTACAATGTAATGAAATTTGCTTTTGATAATTATTCATTCAGTTAAACAGAACTGCTGTGGATGATGATGTGCGTTAAAGCTATAATAAAGCATTATTTATGCGATAATGTTTCAATTGTTTTCTTAATGTAATTTAAAAAGTAATCACACTGTAAACACTTCAAAATGGAGCACAGAAGCAAGAATGTTTCCGTGCTCCATTTTAAACTGTTCTATATTCCAATGACGATGTATCAAACAAACTAAAAACATTTGATTTTTTTAACCTATTCCCTGGTATTCCTGACATCTCAGGTTGAAACATAATGACACGTTTTTGACATTGGTCAGCATAATTTTTATATTAAAACTAACTACCAAATTATCATTTTTTTTTACATTTATTAATATGTCAATTTAGTTTGTGCAAAATAAAAAAATAATTTTGGCCGATACAATAGCCACGATTATTTTTTCTAAAATGTGGAATTTTCATTAGACTTAACATCGACAAAAATTCAACATGGAGCAATACGCTATGGAAAAAATTTCAACATGGGAGGGTTAAATAAAACCTCCCCATTTATGATAGGATCATTTACTTAATAGTTAAAGCAGCATTTGTATTAAATTTGAGATAACGTTAATAATACAAATTTTGCAATTGTGAAAAATAAAATGTATTTAAAACTGCAATCTCCACATTAAAAAGTTTTTGTATAAATTTAGTGTAACAAATAAAAAATAGTGAAGTTACACACACAGGTGTGCACATATATTTTATTTAACCTTACTAAAAACAAATCTTTGAAATAGAAAGGTAAATGTACACAATATTATGCAAGTCATACCAACACAGTCCTTCTAGATAATGACTGGTTACATTCAAAATTTATTAAATATATATTAAAAAAGTACAAATTTTAAACAGAGAATGCAAACATTCTGTGTACTTTAAACTGTAAGGTAACTATTTAGAAGTTCAAATGTGCAGAATATTGACATTCATTTTTTCTATTAAAGAAATCAATTATATATAAGTACAAATTATATGTTTAAAAACATAAATACTATCTAAATGTCTCGAAAAGCATTAGATTATAAGTAATAAATAACAGAATTACCAGTACTAAATACTGATTTTATGTATTTGAAATTATTAGCATTGTTTTCATTATGAAAGTATGAGGGAGAGTCAAATGGAAATCTTAAATATTTTCTATCTTGTAACTTATAAGTGTATACCTTTTATATTCAATATCATTTTTGTATGTAGTCTTCATGGCGTGCAATACAAGCATTCTGGCATGTTGGAAGTGCATGGATATCTTTAGAAAATAATTATTTTTGTTGTAAACATAGCCACTCATTCACCACCCACTTCACTTCTATCAAGCCCAAAAGACATTCCCCAATTAGTCCAAAGACGTTGCCTTTGGATTCAAAGTACCATAAAAGTTCCTCGTGGGCATCAACATGTTGATCTTTCAGTTCTGCAGTCAGTTAGCAGGGCATCCACCTTGCAGAAACCTTTCTGTACTGCAGAATATCGTGAACAATATGATGTGCCAATGCACGACTCCTATTTGTATGGACAGCTATTTCGTTTGCCATTATGTTCTGATTTTCCTTCACCATGGCTTTAACTTCTGTAATGGCCTCTTCTGTCACTATTCACTATTCCTGATCTGGCCAAGGAAAATCTGTGACAGAATTCACACCATTTAGAAACTTCCATTTGTACACTTGCCACAGTGGTAGACGTGCAGCAATCCATGCACTGAACTTTCAATCTTTGATGGATTTCAATGCTCAAAAACAAACAACAAAATGCTGTTCCTCTTTGGGGCTTGTTGAAAGCAGACCTGAAATCATTACCACAGCCGAATCATAGTGTAGCATTTGGGCTTTGTGCTGCAATCCGTTGGCCACTCATCAAACTGAGTATTACTTTGTGAATTTGTCTCTTTAATCCGATTTTCAGTTCGGTAGACTATCATATACAGCATTCAGGTTATGAACTTCCTTTATTGATTTGTCATATGCATTTCGGACTTAATTGTAATTTAAGTCCCTCTTCAGTACAAACTCAGATTCTGTTTTCTAAAAACCTCGGTGTATAATTGGTAACGTTGTAAAAGAATAAAAATACAGCCATTTAAAAAAACACTTCAACTACATATTCACATTAATACGTTGCAACGTATTAATGTGAATATGTAGTTGAAGTGTTTTTTTAAATGGCTGTATTTTTATTCTTTTACAACGTTACCAATTATACACCGAGGTTTTTAGAAAACAGAATCTGAGTTTGTACTGAAGAGGGACTTAAATTACAATTAAGTCCGAAATGCATATGACAAATCAATAAAGGAAGTTCATAACCTGAATGCTGTATATGATAGTCTACCGAACTGAAAATCGGATTAAAGAGACAAATTCACAACAAAAATAGCAGCAGCCATAAGTGATTTTCTGAGTATTACTGTTGCCAACTTACAGGATGATTATATACTTTTAAGGATTACTTTTGACTCTCCCTCACAATTTCATTTAGTCTTCAATTTAGTGCACGTTAAATTATACAATAGGAAGACTTAAAAATAATTAGAAGTCAAACTTTATTAGAAGAAACAATAAAAGAATTTTACAAAAGATTAAAGTATTAGATAATTCATTAGAAAAACAAAAACATTTCTTTGTGCTTGTACTGTATTTACACACATTTTAAAAATTAAATAATCCCTAGCATTAAGACATTTTCATAAAAATATTTGTGATGCAGTTTCAAAATGCAAAAGAACAATCATCAAAATTGCATAACATACTCGTACATTATAAATTAATAAACTATACTATTAACTTTACCAATTACATTCACATACACAATAAACATTTCTCTAGATTGTATGTCTGGTTAATAAGGTAATATCTATTTACTTTCAATTATACTTATCTTATCAGCATATTCTCAAATAATATGACTATGTTAGAAATAAAAAACTATTTTCTTTATTTGATTTTTTATTTTACATAACAAGATATATTTAGTCCCAAACAAAAAATTATTGCAGTATTCTTTTATATATATATATATTTACTACTGTTATTAGAACAACTGATGAATAATATTTATAAATACAATTAATTTCTTAAATACATACACATCTTGGAAATCTTCAATATTTGTTGAAGGAGTGAATACATTCAATAATCCAATAACCTGTCAAATAATAAAGATTTAAAATAATTCAAGATGAAGATTATAGTGTCTTATGAAGAATTAAAATGATAAAAATAAAAACTGCATTCAAAACTTGAAATATTGTAAGAAAAGAATCAATACAGGATTTAGACTTGCATAGTAATTAGTACTTTTAGCTTGCAACAGAATTTTCAATGGTGTAGCTTGTTTCCTTACTGTTTAAACTTAAATCAGTCATGGTAATAATTTTCTTTTAAGTATTATATGTGAACAACAACTTAAATTGATAAATATAATTTTTATGTATGAAGAAAATGTCTGATCTAAAGTTGTTATAATCTAAAAACTTTTAAAATTTAATCCTTAGGAAAATAAATTAGATAATTTAGTAAGTCAGAAAAAGTACGGAATAAACATTACTACTGTAATGGGCTGAACTAGATGTTTCATATGTGATTTTAACTGCCATGTTTAAATAATATGATAATATATAATAATAATACTAATATGATGATGATGATGATGATTCATTTAAAAACTAACTTTCATTACCAGAAAATTTACTTACATTTTCATGATTCATGTGCTTCAATAACCTCAGTTCTCTGTAAGTTCTCTTTGCGTGAATTGCCGACTGGAACGGTCTGGCGAGCTTTTTGATTGCGACCTTCTGACTTGTGACGGTATCGATCGCAGAACTGTAAATAAGCAGGTAGATATTAAAAATTACACATTTAAATTTAGCTGAATAATAATACTAATATCATATTGTTAGAAATTAATTNCACACTGACCCTACATATTTTTGTCTGAATGATTCAAACATTGATCTATTAAAATATTTCAATTAATATTTATAATTGATATTTGGGAAAATTATGTAATATCTGTAAATGTTTTTTTGACAGAAAAATTGTAAATTTATAGAAAAGGATTAGATAATTGTTAATTCTAGAGAGATGGAACAGCTCCTAGTTCTGTGAAAATAGTTTGGAAGGAAGAAAGTACATTTACTGCTTGCTTCATCATCAAGTGTTATTTGTTCTTTTGTAAGTTCAATTTGCAATTACTTTGTCTTGTAACATTCATACATTATAAAATGTAGTTTCTTAAAGCTAATTAAAGTTTATTATTATCCATGGCTCTCTCAAGTTAAATGGAGCATAATTCACTGCTTCAACAAGTTATTCTTATTATATTATATGCAGTGGTACCTCATACTTTGAGCAACAGCCTCTAATTTCAAATGCTTCAGAGTTCAAACTTTGTGCGCAGTGAAAAAATGCACTCAAAACATAAATGGGATCTGTTGTGCACCCAATCTGTCTGTCGCTCTTGTATTATATTTGTGTTTTCATTTCTTTTTTTGCTTTCTTCTTGGTGAGTTTGGTTATATATGTTAATAACACAAATTAATTAATAATACAAATATTAATTTATTCATGTTATTAATTAATTTTTAGCAATTTCTCCCTGTAATTTTTCTTCAGCAGCTTTTGGTTATCTATATTTTGTATACTTTAGTTCAAAATTTCCTAAACAAAACTTTTGAAACCAAATTTGATAAGTTGAAAGTTTAGAAGCACCTCCTCCAAACATATTACAAATCTTTTCCTGTTTGTATGGTATTATATCATTTCCAAAACTCAAAGCATAATATATATCAAGAATACTCAATATATTAAATAATATATAATATATAAAATATATAAAAAAATATATCGAGCATACTCAATATATTTTTTTCTGAAGACATTTCAACTTAATTTATTCAAATAAAATGTGAAGTTAAAGGTTTAAATTAAGCTACTAAACAAAGAATACAATGTGTTAAATTTCATGATATCTATAATTTAATAATGCATCTATGTTAACTAATGACAGCTGCTAAAAATATGCAAAAACTTTCAGTTTCACCCAATTAAATCTTTACTTATTAACCATATTATTCAATAGAAATGTGTGGAAGCAACGAATTCTAAAAGAATGTTTGTAATAAAGATGATTGAGATGAAAAAGTAACTTATCGCAAAGCATGAAAGAGGTACGCATGTGGCATATCTAGCTTCCATAGTTGATGGTCTGTAACCAGTAATTGCAATTTTCATTTTATTATATGGTATTTACATATTTAATTTATTGTTTTTGTTTTAATTTATTATTAAGGCATTTAATTGTGTTATTTTTACATTCAATTATGTGTATTTATTGCTTCAAGTTTATCAAAATGGGTATTCTTTAGGGTCTGAAAATGGATTAATTTGCTTTTCATTATTTCTAATAAAAATAAAAAAATAAAAAAAATAATAATATAATAATTTGATTCAGTCTTTGAATGACTTCTTGGAATGAATTAATTTCAAAGTACAAAGGAAAGTATTAAGTTATGTTGTTACTCTGTCATGTTAATTTTCCACTTGGTTTTATTGTTTACCTCTGCTATCACTAATATTTGCAATTGTTTCTGCATTATACAAGTTCAATTGTCATTGCTACTCAGAGTTAAAAAATAGCAATAACACACTCAATCTTTATGTATTCAGAAATTTATCTATTAATAACTAACACTTCATAAGAGCTTTGTAGCTAAATAAATAAACCAGCAATGAGCTGTTCAACTTTCCTGGTAACATTTAAAATTTTGGTGGCGCTATCTGTTATCATATATTATTAAAAAGTTTTGAGAATAGGGATGGGCTTTATAAAAAATTGTAAATGCTAATAAATAAAATTGTCATTAAGTCTGACCCTACTGGAGAGACACAACCCCCATTTCTCCCCACCTCCCCAACCTTTAATCACCAAAATTTAATAGCATAAATCCCCCTAATAAACAAACCTCCCTGCAAAATTTCAGAAATTTGACAAAAAGCACAGGAATGAACAAAATCGTGTCCCCCAAACACAAGTACTTATCATCATACATATAGAAATACCTGATTTTTTTACATTTCTCGACGTTTCAAGGACCAGAGTCCAAAAATGCAAAAACTTCAGGGGTTCATTTTTTACAACACAGGGGTTCCCTCTGTTGTAAAATAGCCAGGAAAGTAAAAGTAAATTTAACAAGGGATGGTAGCCTAACTATACCTCCTACCAGATTAGTATTTTAAATGCTGAAAAATTATGTAAATTAGTATATGGGTTTTTCATTCTATTAATTTGCATATTTTAATGCTCTCCACACTTGTTAAATAAGCAATTGTAACAATAATGGTCAAGCTCTCTACTCAATGACTCCATTAGATCAGCTAAATTTTGTTTTTCTGCACGTTCTCCAAACCTGACTGTTGGTTGGATTTGGGGTTTTGTGGCACAAGAGCCTAGGTAGACCAAAAAGTGCCAAGTCTAGCCAGTTATGTTGCCGTATGCCCTCAAGTCTTTTACTATGTCATAGTTGTTCTGTTTTATGTCCTAGAGTTATGTATATAAGTTTATTGCCTTCAGATATGCCACTGTAGGTTGAATTTGTCTGTTTTCATCTAGTATAGTCCATAGAGCTTGGTCATCTGAAGATATCTGCTGTCAAAGGTAGCATTCTTTGGCTGTTTTGTATTGAGGCATGTTAGTAATATATGTCGGGTGGTAAGTTCTCCAAACCTGTTTTATAAACTAAAATATTAGGGAATTTTATACTACTCCAATAAAGCAGTTTTTAACAATTACTTCCACAATAACAAAGATAAAACTTATACCTAATGTTACATTTTGAGATAATAAAAACATCTAAACTTTATTTATTCGTGTGCTTTTAAACAAATTTTTAAGTATATTACCTTAAGACCACGTAAAATTTGATAAACTAAAAACTGAACATGATCGTCACTTAATCTCTGAGTTCTGATAATGTTGTTTAAGTCTGCTCCCATTAAATGAGTAACTAAATAACTGGAAGAAAAAATAAATTTTAATTATTTGTATCCAAAACTATATTACTTTAAAGAAAATTCACTGGTAAATAAAAAAAATTAACTTTGATACATAAAATTTTATCACAAAATCTCTAATCTCTAAATCCTTCAAAATCCTGCTTTATCAGAGAATTTTTGATTTAATATAAAACGATTATGTCAGAGAGTACATCTGAGAACAATGGTTTAGATTAAAATTTGACCAAACTAGTGTGAAAATTAGAATTCTTAAATCAAAGCAATCCACATTGAGTAGTTTAGTTTAGTGTGTGTTTCTTTCAGATGATTATACCTTCTAAAGATGGGTTAAAAGACTCAGAAGTATTAGGGAAAGTTTAATAATTATATCTAATAAAGCAGGATTTGAAGATATGCAAATAAAATTATCATCTAAGTATTTAATCATATTAAATTAGTCTGTAGAAATCTAATTTTCTAGTATTCACTGTTCATAACTTAATTCCAATAATTTTTTACAATATGTTATTTGAGGTAAAAACAAACAAATGCTCATACATAACTAAAACAAACATAGGCATCCTTTGGATAAACCACTGCTTTATATTTTTAAAATTATGACAACATATAATAAGGAGGTGAAGATCAATACCTACTCATTTTTAATAATAATAATAATAATGTGTATAATACCATAATATCGCTTCTGTAAGTCTCCATTAGAGACATGATATATAAATTTTGGTTACAATGTAATGAAATTTGCTTTTGATAATTATTCATTCAGTTAAACAGAACTGCTGTGGATGATGATGTGCGTTAAAGCTATAATAAAGCATTATTTATGCGATAATGTTTCAATTGTTTTCTTAATGTAATTTAAAAAGTAATCACACTGTAAACACTTCAAAATGGAGCACAGAAGCAAGAATGTTTCCGTGCTCCATTTTAAACTGTTCTATATTCCAATGACGATGTATCAAACAAACTAAAAACATTTGATTTTTTTAACCTATTCCCTGGTATTCCTGACATCTCAGGTTGAAACATAATGACACGTTTTTGACATTGGTCAGCATAATTTTTATATTAAAACTAACTACCAAATTATCATTTTTTTTNCTAAGTTTGTTACGGAAAAGCAGTCACATCTGAGACTTAGAGTGATGTGATAAAACCAATAACGTCAGGCATCAAATTCATTGCTTTCTCTTTGTTTATTCAGCAGAAGGTTGTATGTTGCTATAGTCAGTTCTTAAGGTAAAAGTCTTTTATGTAGTAAAACAATTGGCTTCCTCCCAATAGGGTTATGCACATGGATCAAAAAGATCTTTGATCGGGGATGTAGACATTCATCTCCTCCTCAAATCTTGTGTTCTTACAATCTAGTTTCCAGGATGTAGCAAGTGCTTCCTAGATAATGGACCATGTGGTGCTCTCTCTATCTGACTGGATCTTAAATAGCTAATCTGATGTTCTTTATAAAAAGGCTATCATTCTTAACGACATATATAACAGGGTGGCTGGTTCGTCGAAATCTCGATCCTTTCAACTCTGAAGCTTAGTTGCCTCCAATTCTGTAAAAACTGAACATTTCCCAATAAAATTCAAATTACTTTTTATTGTCTCAAAAGTAAAACATGTCTATTTGTTTTCTATTAGAGTATGAAATTTCATGGATTAAGCATCTTGAACACACGAATTAAGCTCAAAAACCATCACTTTTAGCATGAGCCATGGGTGGGTGGCACATGACAAGTAAAATTTAAAGAATATAAAATTAACATCATGTACCATCTACACACACACCATCATTAAAATCTAATTCA